TTTTTTGAGGTCCCCCCTCCCGGAAGTAGCTTAAGAGGGTAGGGATCATACAAGTAAACATTCCCTACAAACCAGTCATGCGATTTCTAAAAAACCAGACCAGTCATCCAAGGGAGCGGAGCATCTGGACCAGTCATGGTGCCTGTTGACCTGCCGGGTTTTGGCCAGTCTTCAAAACACGGCCTCATGGTATATAATTACCTCCTTTACACCTCAGCCAATCCCAGCAGAAGTCGGCAAACAAGTGGTCATTCGCCAGATCTCGACTGATTAAGATCAGTTGTGAAGAGCAACACATCATTTTTGCGGGAGACGTTCTCCGTGCCTTGGGACATGCCATATCGGGACCTTGGCGGAAAAACGCGCGCTTCCACCCTGCCTCCGGTGGTGAGGATGAAATCGACCCTGATAGGTGACCACCTGCCACATCCACCGGGCACCGTCTGAACCGCGTGCGATGGCGAACACATGGAGGGATCTTATAGGAAGAACCCGTCACTGAGGACTGAGGCGGTACAAACTGAAGACATTGGGTCAGAAAAAATGCGCATTTTCCTGAAAAAATACCAAAAAAACAAGCTAGTGACAACCCGGCATCCGCTTAGCGGGGGGTAGTATATAGTAGCGACACCCACATGACAAATAGGAGAGTATAGAATTATCCCGGCAAGAGACCCCAAACAGTGTGTGTGTGAGGTATTGTGAAGTCTATAGGCAGAAAGTCTAGAGATCTAAACGTATTGGGGTCCAGAGAGGCGATGGTGGTGATGAAAGTGGGGATTGTGGTGACGGTGGCGGTTGAGTGAGAGTGAGAGGGAGAGGGAGAGGGAGAGGGAGGGAGAGGGAGAGAGTGAATGGGAGAGTGAGTGCGTGTGAGTGTGAGTCAGTGTGTGAATGAGAGTGAGAGTGAGAGTGAGTGAGAGTGAGTGTGGTGAGTTTGAATGTGAATGTGAGAGTGAGTGAGTGTGATTGCGAATGTGAGTGCGAGTGAAGAGTGAGTGTGAGTGTGAGCGTGTGTGAGTGAGTGAGATGGGGGTGAGAGTGAGAGTGAGAGAGTGAGCATCTGACAGCACAAAGTGCTGTGCCTGCCACGAAATCTGCACTTCGAGGTTCACCAAGCTGGGGCTGCATCTGCCACGAAATCTGCACTTCAAGGTTCACCACACGCTGTGCCTGCCACGAAATCTGCACTCCGAAGTTCACCAAGTGCTGCGCCTGCCACGAAATCTGCACTTCGAGGTTCACCAAGTGCTGTGCCTGCCGCGAAATCTGCACTTCGAGGTTCACCAAGTGCTGCATCTGCTGCGAAATCTGCACTTCGAGGTTCACCACAAGTGCTGTGCCTCCCACGAAATCTGCACTTCGAGGTTCACAAAATGCTGTATATACCTGCCACGAACTCTGCACTTCGAGGTTCACAAAGCGCTGCACCTGCCACCTCGAGGGTCACAGAGTGCTGTGCCTGCCACGAAATCTGCGAACGAGCCACATGTCCAAAAGTCACGATTCATCGCACCTGTCACGAAATCAGAGCTCCTCGACGATCACGACCATGTCCAAAGTGATTACTGCACCAAAACACGCGGATTCCCTTGCGCCTGCCACGAAAAGTGACCACCATGTGCGAACATGCGCACGGCACCACAACGAGAGCGCAGTCGCCAGCTTAAGCACCCGCCGCGGCCACCCAGACTTTGCGAGCCTGCGCAGTCGAAATGCACTTCAAGGATTTCGAGAGGCATGAATGTGCTGCAAATAGCAGCGAATTAGCCGGACACGCCTAATATGTCCAAAGTGATTACTGCACCAAAACACGCGGATTCCCTTGCGCCTGCCACGAAAAGTGACCATGTGCGAACACGCGCACGGCGCCAGAACGAGAGCGCAGTCGCCAGAAGCACCCGCCGCGGCCACCCAGACTTTGCGAGCCTGCGCAGTCGAAATGCACTTCAAGGATTTCGAGAGGCATGAATGCGCTGCAAATAGCAGCGAATTAGCCGGACACGCCTAAGCACACCTGCTTTACTCCTACCGTAAGAACCCCTAGTGTGTCCTTCAAAACAGTGATAGAAATATCTGGTGTGTAGGAGCCGCCCAAACCACAAACAATCCATAACAATCCTTCAAACAACACTGCCTACCAGAATTGATACTGACCTCTCTTGAACAACTGTTGGCCCTGCGATTCACGACATCGATCCACAAGCCGCCGACGTGCGGTGGTGCTCCACGTGGCGCGCTGGGGGATGGCCGGAGATGGCCACATACTGTTGAGATTTACGGGATGGTGTTTGGATCGCTCAAAGCTAAGGAGCCCCGTCCTTGCTCCTGGCCCAGTAGCGTCCTTGCTCCTATACTAATAGTAAGGCCAGAGCCCCTAGCAGCGTCCTTGCTCCTAGTAGCGTCCTTGCTCCTAGTAGTAAGGCCAAAACCCCTCGTTTCGTCCTTGCTCCTATAGTAATAGTAAGGCCAGGAAGCCCCCAGCAGCGTCCTTGCTCCCAGTAGCGATGCCACGAGCCCCTTGTAGCGTCCTTGCTCCTAGTGGTAAGGCCAGGAGCCCCTCGTAGCGTCCTTGCTCCTGGTAGTCAGGCCAGGAGCCCCTAGTAGCGTCCTTGCTGCTATAGCATAATAGTAAGGTCAGGGAGCCCCTCCCAAACCCTCCCAAACACTCCCTCCCAAACCGTACCTCCCAACCCTCCCTCCCACTCCCTCCCCTCCCATCCCCTCCCATCCCATGCTCCTAGTGCCCCTAGCGTCCTTAGTAAGGCCAGGACGCTAGCAGCGTCCTTGCTCCTAGTAGTAACGCCAGGAGCAAGGAGCCTCCTTGCTCCTAGTAGTAAGGCCAGGAGCCCCTACTAGCCTCCTTGCTCCTAGGCCAGGAACCCCTAGCAGCGTCCTTGCTCCTAGTACTAAGGCTAGGGGCCCCTAGTAGCCTCCTTGCTCCTAGTAGTAAGGCCAGAGGCGTTAGGCTCAAGCCTACTAGCGGCGCGCCCATTGCCACCCGTGAGGGTGGTGCAGGTTGAGCCATGGCAGCCACGAGAGAGGCAGACTTTTTCATCAAGCACTTGTTTTTGACTTGGCTTTCAGCCGCCAAAGAAGAGATCTGGGCCAAGCAGGTACTTTTGCGCCATCCCCAGTGTGCTGTGGTTGAATGCCACCGAGGCAATAGTACACCCTGCATTCTGAAGGTGACAAATGCTGTTTTGGCACATCTCAGCACCTCGAGCTCCCGCAAGATCTTTGCATGGAAGTTGTGCAGCAAAGTACAATTTGGTCTTGTTCTGCCTACAGAGGAGGCTGATGTACCAGATTTTTTCCATCTTCGAGATGAACCAGGACCCATCCTATCGACCGCTACCTGAGTCTTTTGAGCCATGGGCTCAGAACTTTGCCAAGTATGACTGAATGCACAAACCTGAGAAGATACAGCATTAGGGGAACCATTGTGTTGGCACTATGTGAACTCCTGTCGTAAAGACTCATCAACATCCTTCGAGTTGTCTTCTTTGGTCGATCCTACAGTACGATTGCAACAGCAGTGTGATGGCACAGGTATATCCTTGGATTCTGGTAGTGACCCAAGTGAGACGTGTGCTCTCACAGATACATATGAACCCATGAGCTTTGAGCCCTGGGCTGCTGGCTACATGCCATATACTGACCGAAGTATCTTTTCAGGAGACTTAGCTGAGGACCAGTTTCTTGAACCATGGAGTGCCCATTTTGTGCCAGAGGTATACTCAAAGTCGGCATATGTCTCTAATCAACCAGTTGCACATCAGTCGTAAAGCAGCCAAAGTCAGTCATTTCCACACCGAGTTACCTCATGGATCAATGGCTTTTGTCTGTCCATGCCCACATTGTCGTGTCTTGACGGGGTTTGGTCCACCTCCAAACAGGCTATTGAACATTTGGGATCATGTTGGGATGGAGCCTTTGGTAATGAGTTTTCCCATGACTCCAGGTCAGGGTATCTTTTGAGGAAACGGCTGTGGAAATATCGTGATGGCAGATGGAATTTTGCAAATCACGTTACCAAGTCCAGTCTTGTCCCTCGTGGCACCTGTCCTTCAACCGGAGGGTCGCAACCAGATTCCTCAGGTGGTTTGTGGGACCCATTCTGCATGCAACCTGTCCCAATTTTGTCGGAGCCCGTGTTCAAACCTGATCCAGTTTCTGTGTCATTGACTACACAGGTTCCTCTAATTCATGAAGATCATTTTGATCTCTCAGGGTATGTCACCCATTGCCATGTTGATCAGCATACCAACGGTGATGGCTCTACCATCACGTTGGACTATGGCCTCCCACGTCTTTGTCGTGAGAAGATCCTAGCAGGTTGTACAGACTGTTTGAATACTGTACGAGATGCCGCCATTCCTCCCTGCTTGTCACTTTTCAGTCAAAGACACCCCACTTGTGTTTCTCGACATGAATTGCCTACGCTATCTAAGTTCCAACATGTGTCAGCTTCAATGCCATCGAGAGATTCTCTCTCAATTTTATGTCGGTCGGCAATGTCAAGTCATCGGTCCGTGTCAAAGCATATACAAGTGTTATGGTACACAGGATACTGCCATCACGGCGATGGTGTGAAAGCCTTTCCAGCTCCACAACGTCGGACTACCACCAGTGGGGCTGTACCTGTTTCAACATCCACAAGTAATGAGATATTGGCTTTGCAAGACATTTTACAGATCGGCGCCTGCAAACACCTTCCTGGCTGTCAACTGACATTCGGAGTTCAATCGATGCCAACCGTATTCAAACTTTTTTCGAGGTGATAGTATACAAGGACCGCCTGTCCGTCTTCAAGATATTGATTTTGAACACCTCTTGCCATGGTCGGATGCTTCCGTGGAGATGTCATCCTATGAGTGGCCTTTCGATGACCTCCACTCTTGCGCTGAAACACGACGACACTATGTTGATATTTCGAGTTCCTCTGGACATCGTGATGTGCCAACTATATGCAGGCACCGACCAGTCTGATTTCAGCTTTGTGGATCCCAGATTATACGCAACTGGATCGTGAGTATTCCACCTACATTTTGCCCAGCAAATCAGTTGACATTTGGGCAAGTTCTTTACAGCTTTCTCAGTTTTCTCATGAAGCTTATGATGATAGCAGCATTTACTGTTATCCGCTGAACTGGGACAAACGCCAGCAAATTTATATCATCTCTCGAGTTTGTCATCTACATCGACCTCAGGTATGCTTCCCTGATATGTTCGTGAACATTCAGTCGTGGTGTGATTTACCAGGGCATCCACCGTTACAGTTGCAGATGATACAGCCAGAGGAGGTGATCAGACACATTCAAGTGGATATGATCATGAAGCCGATCACTTCCTATCACGTGACTCCACTCATTCCGACACTTTCTGCCGCTCGATGGCTTCAAGGTCCAGGTTCTTACATTTGCGCTACTTCCGCACTACACCAGCTATCCCAACAACTTCGATTTGTTTCTGCCACTCGTTGGCCATACGACCCGACCCTCGGTCAGACCAATCATGGGTCACAGATATTGCTCAACGCAGCATCTCCTTCGCAGGCTGTGCAGTGGAGGCCACTCAAGACATTGGTTCAAAACAATGCTGTGGCCAAGGACTTCACTTTAAATCAGCCAAGTCTACGACATTTGACCATCTCTACAGGGGCTGTACCCGATAACAACCATGATTCTATTCGTACACCCTCCGTACACCCTCAGCCAACACTGAGACTGCGACACTTTTATCCACCACAGATGCATGGAGACGCCAGGAGTTTTTGGATGAGATGTTCTCGCACTTGCCAACATCGGATGCTTTGTCAGTTGGCGGATTGTACAGCGCTTGATCAGTACCAGGCTACAGTTGCTGTACGACCACTCCAGCACATTTCGTGATCATGAACCATTATATACCTCCGAGACGCAACAGGTATTTGCTTCACCGCAAACTCCAGGGACTGCTTGCCACATTCCGGATCTACAGCAGATGACCACCTTTAGTGGGGCTGTACCCAAATCCGTCAACACTTGTCATGACCTATGCCGTAGACATGACATTGATGACAGGCTTCAGCAATCTTTTGACTGCTTGTCGTCAACGATAGATCCAAATCCGACACCACAGGGACTCCAGAGCTATGTCCAGGACCTCCTTGCATTTGAGCGATCCTACAACAGTGCAGCCAGATACTCGACCTCAGCAATCTCTTCAATCAAATCCAATTTCTGACCACATTACTGACAGCAAGCAAATCATTTCCACTTATGACCATTCTGGTACTTTGTGGCCTTTACATTCATCTTGCCCTGATTTCAGCAACTTCGATGTAGCTTTGTGTCCTCCGAGAGACCTTGCTGGTGTCTTTCCGCAAGACAGTGAAATGACTCACCGTCCACATTTGTGGCACGCGGGCTTCTCTTGTTGGGCAGTCCTCGACATCGATGGCTTCCTTACGTTCTACAGTTGCACTGCAAGGATGATAGTCCATTGCCAAGGGATATGTTCGATGGTTTGACCTCAGTGCATCAAGATCCACGACATTATACCACCACCAGTGGGGCTGTACCCAGATATCAACTACTTAGTCAAGACACAGGACTGGCGTATGGTTATTTTGACCGTGTGGAGCTGCAACAGCGGACCCCACTTGCTATACTTTCAGCTGCAGTACATCATGACCAAATGCTACAACTGTTTACCACATATCATGGGGCTGTACCCACTACCAACCACAGTTTGATCAGCTCAGCCTCTCATCGTTCATTACAAAGCATACAGAGCAAGACAGCATTGGGCCATGTCTTTCTCGACTCTCTTTTTACGTTTATGGATCCCTCTCAGTCTACCCGCCTTTGGTTCAACGACTTGCCTTTGGTCCAGGACCACTTCGAGTCGCAGCAAGAATGTTGCAGGAAGCCTTTATGGAATCTTCTGCACTCCCTCTTTCCATCACATGCACCAGACATTGTTGAGACTACACAGTAGCCATCGCCAGGATCAGAAAGTTTATTGCAACTCACCCTTAAGGGGTAGTGTGCAGCAGCTTTCGTCACCAGGACACCGGAACACCGATGTTGTGACTCCTGATGCTCTGACTTTGATCTCCCAACCAGCCCAATTTGAAAACCCTGATCTTTCGACTTCCTTTGACTCTCGCACCTCGAAACCAGCTCCCTTTCAAGGATGGAGCACAGCTATTTAAGCCCCTAGTAGCCCCCTTGCTCCTAGTAGTAAGGCCAGGAGCCCCTAGTAGCCTGCTTGCTCCTAGTAGTAAGGCCAGGAGCCCCTAGCAGCGTCCTTGCTC